CCAGAATTCCCCAGCCAGCATTCGCTGGCTGGGGAATTCTGGGAGTTGAAGTCCGGACATCTTCAAGTTGACAAGGTTGGGAATCATGTCCTCGTTAATTTATCCAGCGGCTCTTTCGGATTATATGCTTTGGGGGAAAGAGTCAAGTTTGTTTCATTGTGAAATGGCTTTTAAAGAGATACTGTTCTGAAAAGGAAAGGGGAAAAAAAGGGCATTACTAGGGGCAACCCAAGTGAATTAACTCAATTTAGCTCAACTTTGCATTCCTTGCAAAGAAATCTCACCTTTGCATTCTCTTTTGTGGCACTTCTTGTTTCGTGTCCCCAGAAAGTATTGTTGGAATGCTGTATATTCATTTTCGTGCATTCCGCTTTGTTCTCTCCCCATCTGTGTGCCATCGAGTCATGGCTGTGGGTTTAACCCTGCCCACCAGCCTTCAAAATAAATCTTTTTACAGGGGGAAAGAAACGTATTGTCACCGTATGGCTACGGGTCAGGTACAGTAGCAAACGGTCGTCCTTCACATCCTCCTCCATCGTTCTTGGTTAAGTGTTATTTCTCTGCATGTATAAAGAACAGTTCTTGATGTGAGTAGCTTTTAATGATATGTGAATAACCATTTCTAAGGGTAAAAAAGGTGGTGAAGCAAGGTACGTGAGCTTAGGAGGTGTGCTTAGGATCGGACATTTATATATAGGACGAGTGATGTGCTAGGATGGCGGGAATGCAGTAGCGTTTAGCAACACGAGGTTTCATAAATGTCTCGGTTTTGTAAACTTTTGATTTAGCCTGAATCTACACTGAAGATCCGTGCTCCCTTTCTATTTAGGGAGATTATGCTTTTTACATGTTTTATTTTTTCTACGTAAGGCACAATTGGGTTAAAAGCAACAGGCTAAGCCATAAGTCACAATCCACAATGCTGGTTTAGTTCGATCAACCATGGTTTGTGAATCAAGCCATACTTGGATGGGCTCGATATAGTGCAGTGAGGCATAAAATCACAGTTCAAAAATTAGAATGGCTACATTCACAGAATATTGCATCCCCTCCATCGTAAAAGTTGCTTGCACATTGAATAATTCTTGAAGAGAAGCATTTAAATTCTCATCCTGAATGTAACATGAGGAGACTTCCGTTTGTATTATAATAATCAATTTATTTCTGTTTTGAGCTTCCACATTTATGACATTTAACATGCAGTGAGCATTCCAGTCAGAAGATGGGTTGGATTCTGCTTAATTTCTCCATTAACAGTACAAGTAGCGTCCCTTTATTTCAATAATTGGAAATAGATTTTCTGATGCTAAGCAGTGCAGTTGTAAAGCATGTCAGGTGATTGCACTAAGTGACAGCAGTTATGGTAGTTTTCAGTTATTGTCATTAAGTGAAAACCATGGTCACCTAGCGAGGTCCTCTCGTGACTACAATGTCTGACATCCTGCTGGCTTCCCGATGGATTTTGTTTGTGGGAAAGCCGATGGGAGATCGCAAATCGCGATAATGTGACACGGGATGCTGCCACAATCACAATGATTGGCGTGTGCATAGGGCAGAATTTTGAGGACCGTTTATAAGTTCAACATTGTTACAAGTTGAAATGGTCACTGAGTGAGTGGCCATTCAATGAGGGCCACCTGTATGTTTACTTGTTTTGTTTTCCCCCATAAACTGCCCCGATATGTTGTGGGGATAAAATGGTTTAAAAGCAATTCAGATTTACAACTAGCAAAATAAATTTTGATAAATGAATCTTCACATTACTGCTGGAAAGCTATGCATTGTGGGGAAGGATCCCCCCAAATATGAGGGGGTTTATAAGCCATGAAGACTGACTTTCATTGGCTGAGACTAGTGGAACAGCACACCCCCCACCCCACCCAATCCCTTCTGTTGCAGAATCATAGCAGAAAAGTTGAATAAGGAGGCAAGACCAGTGCTGAAATTCACACAGTTACAATTGTCAGACTCCTTCATAAATGGACTTTTTAGATAGGTGTATTGGGTTAGTTTCTTGTGCAGCTGCTAACTCAGAAAACATCCTTTTAGCACCATCTGGATAATTAAAGCTCTAAAAGAGGCACTTAATATACTCTGCAGACACACTAGTCTCGTATTCCTCAGTACATTTTAAACAGTCATTAAAAGAATTTGCATTCATATGAGATGGGAAGGAGTACAGCAGAGAAATTAAGAATGCAGCCCAAAACATATTTACTTAACAGGGAATATTACTTCTTATGAATGGACATGCACTAGCCTAATCTTCAAAACAGGATAAAAACAATGATTTATAAATCTGTCAATGATTTATAAATCTGTTGCTCAGTGACAGCCTACATACATAATTGCGGGTGGTTACAAATGGTGATCCCAGAATGCAATTGTCATAAACTCATGCCAGTTGTCAAGTTCCTGGATTTTGATCACATGACTATGGGGATGCTAAAACTGTTATTAAGTGTGAAAAACAGTCACAAGTCACTTTTTTCACTGCTGAATTAAGAGTATAATTCAGTGCTGAATAGTTATGAGGATTACCCATAATTAGACAATTGACCAGATGATTCAGTCCTAAGGCTAGTGAATTTTTAAGGGTTTTTAAAACTGTGTATAATTCAGATTCAATGGCATGTTTTTCATAAGTGTATTTGTGTCAATTTCCCCTCTGCTTTCTTCTGTGAATTGAGGACTGACTGCTAGCGTTACTATGGGACATACTATCAGTTACAGCAATTGGTAACATTATATGATGAAAGCAATCAGAAAACAAAACAGCCTTGTGCATCACCCTCCTGGCCATGGTGTGTACAGAATGGAGTGATCCGTTTTTAAAAGCAGTGCAAGCAATGCAGTAACGTAGTATTTAAAGGCATAATGCATACTTGATATTTTTGCCATTTTAGCACATAAAAACAATTGCTAGACACACTTGTTATTATCTATATCCCAGCAATGGGAAATAAAAGTATCCTGCACTTCCCTAGTTCTAATCTCACCAATCCTTTTTAAATCACCTTAACATCTTTTAGATGCTCTGATGTGTCTTTACACCTTTTTACCTTTAAAAAAACCATTGTTGGGAAAAAATGTAACAAATTATCACATATATTGCATTCAAAACACACTTTTCTAATAGAATACTGTTTCTGATACTGTACTTTATTAAATGCTTTGCTACAAGACAAAGTAATGCAGATTCTTGGTTTTGTCTTCATGTGGTACCACTTTAAATTACTACTTTAAAAATAATAAACTGGGGATCTTACTACTGAAGTTTACAGAAAGGCACCTAGCAAGAAATGTTGTTGCAATGGAAAATGTACTGATAACATTTTTGAGGTGAGTTATGATTAAGTACTGCTAAGAACAGAAATGCAACGCCTAGAAATTGAAAAAAATGTTTTCAAGTCTGTTTCTGTAAAACAATAGTTGAAAATGACATTTCCAATATAATTCTACATATAGATGTCTTTAAACCAGAGATCAGACAAGTTATGATCATCCTTACATTGAGATTCAAAATAGTTTCCTTCAAACAACAAAATGTTTAAATGAAACTTTAAAAGTGTACCAATGGCTTTTCTTTCAAAATAGCTAACGACAGATAGAAAGCCGACAGGATGAACTTGAAAGTTTCAATCCATTTGAAAACACACTTCAGTGTGTTTGAATAAAAGGAGAAATAATTAAACAGGAAATGTGTCATAGGCCACAATTCATTTGATGTTTAAAGTAAAGCCAGATAATACAGTATTCGCTAGAGTATTTTTAGATTGCCAGTCTGCAAAACTACATTGTTTTATATAGCTTCAATCAACTATTCATCAATTTTTCTAACAATGGACATCAAAATTTCTGAAGATAGATTTCTTTTAGTACCTATTTGATTTATTTCTTTTGGGGTTTCTTTGAGTCTAAAATAAAAGGATCCAGCTGTTTTATTTGCACACAACAGTTTTCTTTAAACAAGTTATATAAGACTGGTTTTAGACTGAACAGCTCTGCTCCTCAAGCATGCAATAAATTGTTCTCTTTACCAAAACAGGATGAAGTTATATGCCCTGTGATCTTGTCTTCTCAGCTGGAATATTAATATTCGCCTTCTGAGAATTACAAGACACATACTGACAAATTGTATTCAAACTATTCTGATTTCAAATAAAGATAATATCGTTGGAAAAAGGAGCAAAGACCCTATAACTTAAGAAACTTTAATATAGCATATGAAACAAATCATATCTGAAATGTACAGGAGTTGCAAAGCATCAGATAGCCAAACAACAAAGGCAATAACTTTTTAAAGTGCATTTTATATTCAATACATGAAACTATGCATATATGCTAACAAGAAAATATGTTCTACCTTTTCACAAAGAAAAAAATACAATTTACTCTGTTTGGTCCCTTGTTTTCCAAACAAAATAATTTATATTTTAAATAATATTTTAAAAGCCCAACTCTTCTTCCTAAATTTGGCTAAAACTCATTCACTTTAAGAGCATTATCTTTATATATGTTAACACAGAGACATATACAGATGTGCATAAACATACAACTTAACCATGGTTCATCCATCAGCATCAAGTTCACAAAATTTGCATTACAAACATATCTGAGTGAAGACTTCACAGACTTTATTTTTAAAATAAATGATTGTTCCTTTAATATTATATTTTATATATATATGTATACAAAAACAAAAAAAAATCTGCATTTAAGTTCTCTTAGGAACATATTGTTGCTAATGTGCCATTTTTAGCAGAAATATAAAGGCAATATTTTGGAGAAGCACTTCCTTTATTAATGAATAGTAAAAGAATATTAACCTATAGAAGGCAAACATTCAAACATCTTTAGTGCAACAGTCAGTGGAATTTTTATATATGATTTGTAACAAGTATAATATTATCAATTCAAAAAATATTCTGAATCTTCAAATATTTAGTTCTTTAAGAACTGCTTTCATTCCAGATCTTTATCCATTTTCTACTGCTGATAGGAAGAAATTGCATAGGAATTTTCCTCATCATATTCCCTGTTGAGGAAAAAAAGGAAACTTATGAAAATATGCCGAATTACTTATAATTCACTCCTCAGAATTTTATCCAATTTTAGTAGGATTATTTCAAATTAAGCCTTTTAAAGACTACTGCAGAAATGTCATTCTTGTGAGCTGCAAATGTATCATGCAAGAACTTTAAAGCAAGTGAGAAAAAGGTAATGTGTTATTAGTCATCCTTGACTAATTCATATATATGTGTTTCTATGTTCACACACACACATGCAGCTAAAATTTCCTTAATTCAATATGGAAGGACAAGGTAATTCTAGACACAGACCAAACTTTTGCTTTGCAATGATGCTATTGGAAATTAAGTAGCTGTCTTAAAAAGTTTTAGATAGTGTTTTCTAGTACTACTATTATTTGTTATATTACCATCTATTCAAGTTTCTCAGCAGTTTAAAATAAAAACATATTTTAGATAAAGACATGAATAATATTTTACCTGTTATCTTCAGATTTTAATTTCTTAGCTGCTTGTTTGGACAATTTAATCTGCACGTCCATTCTATGCAGAAAATCTTTGGCAGAGAGTTCTTCAGGTGGGGGAAGTCGATTGTCAGATTCTTGAGGACTGGGGGAAGAGTTGTCTTCCTGAACTGTCATGGGACTTTCTTCGCAAGGAGTAGGATTGTCAATATCATCTTCTGGGGATTCCAGTGAGTTGCATCCATTAAACAACAAAGCCTTTTCCAGTATAACTGGGATATTTAATGTTTTTCTAAGAAATATGCAGTCATTTGTAAAAAGTTTATTTGCTCTTTTTATTTGCTCCATCTGAAACAGAAAGTTATATTTACAATCCAAGTGACGCAAGCATTAAAATAGCCTGCAGCTACCTATTACATAAGTTTATTTCTGAAGATGCATTTTTAATGCAATTAATTTTTGGCTATCCTTCCAAATGGGGATTGGTATTGTTACAATTGCAATACCAGATCTTTTTTTCAGACATATGAGGTAAAAGTTGGTGGGGTGGGGGGACCCTTTGGAAACTAATTTATACTTCTAACTGAACAGATTAAACATGGAAACTAAATTTCTTCTTTTGAACTTTTACAGCAAGGATGAATTCTTCTGTTAATGACATTAACTATAAATATAGTAACAAATGTTTCCTCAGGCATTTGTTTTGAGGAAAAACTAGCAACCTGATGCTCTAGTTGCTATTCTTTGCAGTTTAATAAATAATGTATCTAAAGCTATTATGTAACTAGAACGTTTACACTTTCTCCCCATAACTTCATGTTAAAGACTACTTTTCTATGTTCATTCAACAGTTTAATGATTGAACAACATAAGGTTTAGACTTTAGAAGAACCTCATAAGCTCTCACACTTTCTCCCCAGAAACTTTTTAATTTAGGTTTGGCATTATAGATCTATTACAATACAATACTCTCACAGGCCAACATTTGAAATAAACTATAATAAAAATATTCACCTACCAGGATTATAAACTGGTTTAGTATTAAATATGATCTACAGTCTCTACTGAAATCTGTCTCAAATTTGAGTATTGTGTATTCAATGTAGCTAATGGAATTCGTGTCTGAGCATGTATACCTAAGTTGACTTTGAATTCATATGTTCCAGCAATACAAACATACTTCAACCTTGTCTCATTAATGGTGATTTATTACAAATCTTTAATTGTGCCAACAACTGTTGCTATTCAACAAATCCAGCTATCATTTCAATTAGGCAATCTATTACATGATTTATATTCAAAACACCACAGCTTAAAGAGGACAGGAAAAATAGCAACTCTGTAATGCACACCATCTTTTGTTCAAAGACTGATTTTCACTTTCAGTGTTCAAACTTTCCTACCAGAGGGCTGCCACCCTTAAAGGAAAATTCCAGATTCAAGTCTCTGTTAGAAACTCTACCACATCCAGAATGTGTGATGCACTCACTGCAGGAACTCTACAGTTGCAGTCGACACCTGATGCCCTCTAAATCTCCTATCGTAAGAAAGAGCTGTTTGTCTGTCCATCCCCTTAATATTAGCCATATTGGACTGGGACGTGGGTTACAATGAGGAGAAAAGCAAAAGTATGTAAACTGCCTTGGCTCAAAGAGACACACCAGGTCGGTTGCAACTTTCCAGTTGGAAAGCACTCTGCATGAGGACGGAAGCATTCTCCTCCAGCAAACTCCTCCATATTTTTGAGAAAGTGGGAAAAGAAAGAAGCATGCAGTTTCCACCCAGAAACTTTCCAATCTGAGACTGATCGAGTCAAGTAGGAATTACGGGACTGGAGCTGGGGATTCGAGAAAAGTTCCCTTGTTTCAGCTGCTAAGTCCCAGTCCCAAAGGAGGGTGAATAACGGTGCCACCAAATAGGTTCTCTACACATTCTTATGGAAGGGGACCCTCTGTCTATGCTCAGGGAGGGGGCCTTTTTTCCCATATTCATGGAGGAGGGGCTCCCTATGCCCTTGCTCCTGTTGGGGTTGCCCTCTGCACATGCTGTTGGAGGGTCCCCTCTGCCCTTGTTTGTGGAGGGGGAACTCCCTGCCATCTCTCATGGAGGGGGGTCCTTTTGCCCATCCTGGCAGAGGGGGAGCTTCTTGCACCCTTCGTGTTGGTGGGGGGGATGATCTGTCCCTGTACTGGTGGAGGGAAAGAAGAGTGCCTTGCACCCTTGCTGGTGGAGGGAAGATCCTCCGCCCTTTGCCCATGCTCAGGGAGGGGAGGTGCCCTTGCTTGTGTTGGGGGTGCCCTCTGCCTGTGCTGGTGGTGGGGGGCATACCCTTGCTTGTGGAAGGGGACCCTGTGAACCTTGTTCAGAGAGAGGGTTCCCCTGTGCCCTTCCTCCTGTTAGGGGTGGTGAGCTCTGCCCATAATGGTGGAGGGAGGGCACTGATCCCTTGCTTGTAGAGAGAGAGACCTCTGTACCATCGTGGAAGGGAGACCCTCTGCCATTTGCCCATACATTCATGGGGGGGGGGAGACTCCCTGTGCCCTTCCTGGTATTGGGGCCATGCCCTTTGCCACCTGCTGATGGTGTGTGTGTGTGTGTGTGTGCTGTGCCCTTATTAGTCTTCCCACCGTTCCTATCACCCACCTCCTCCCACTTATGACTGCAGGACCGTAACTTCGTTGCTTGTATCCTTACGGTTTATATTGATTGTTTCCTAGTGTGATCTGATGGCTTATTTCTAACCTATGACCTTAGGATTCTTGGCGAATGTATTTTTTATTCTCCTTATGTACCCTGAGAGCTTATGCACCAAAGACAAATTCCTTGTGATTCCAATCAATAAAGAATTCAATTCTCGTGGAGGGGGGGGGCTGTTAACACGGACACGCGTCCCCCCCCCTCCCCGGCCGAACATCGCGACTCCCCAAGGGCCACATGATGGTCCTGGGAGCCCAGGCCGTGGCCTCCGAGGTTTCCTGCGCCAGCCTCCCCCTCCCCCCCCCACTCCATCCCAATCTCCTTCCTTGCTTACCGTTACGCCGTACTTGAGCGCCAGGCCCGGCAAGGTGTCTCCGGGGCTGAGGCAGTGCTCCACGTACCGCTCCGCCAAGGGGGCCACCACCGTGGCCGTGCTACCGTACGACCGCGTTTTGGTGCGCGCCAAGCTCAGCGACAGCTCGGCCTCTCCTTCGGCGGCGCCCGGACCGGGCAGCGGTTCCTCCCGCAGCGACAACCCGGGCACAGGGAGCAAGGACTCCGCCATGGCGAGTGCAGCAGCGTTCAGCGGCAGGTCGGGGCCATCGTTCCCTCAGGAAGGCGGCGAAGCGAAAAGGCGAGAGCCCTGAGGCGCGAAAGGCGGGAAGCGAGCGGCGGCTTTGTTGCGCCTGCGTGGTAGAGACTCCGGCGGCACGCGAGGGGAGGGCGGTGGGATAGAGTCGCGCCTCCGGCCAGGCCGCCCTTTCTGCGCCTGCGCCAGATCTCGCGCATGCTCCGAGCGAGCGCCCCGCTGAGGGGAAAGGTTTTGTCCCCGGGCGACCTGCGTACCATCCCCCACCCGTGACCCGCAACCGCGTTCACACGACGCTTTTTTTTTTTGTCAAAAGGTCAGTGAAGGGCCTCGGGAGATGCCGTGGGTGCCACCTTCCCCCTCTCAAAAAAAATCGAGTCCCCGTTAACTCTAGTGTGTGGATTTTGGGGGGGGGGGGTACAGCTTAGCCAGCTGCCTTGTTTATGGGTTTAATGTTTATTTATTTTTATTTTAGTTTGTCCCTCGTGTACAAGATAACAGGAATAAGAATAAACATGAAGAAAAACACAGGAAATGGGTACAAATAAATGGGGACAGTAGGGCTGGTAAAAGAACTGCGAACCTGGAAAAAATGGTAGTTTTGGAGGGAAAAACAGAATTATAATACTTATGTCTGTGGTGATTCTCAGTCAACCAGGTCATGGTTGTCCCAAAGGTGTTTTTTTCTGGAGGCAACTGAACTTCCTTGTTTTTTCTTTTGAAGATGTTTCGCTCCTCATCCAAGAAGCTTCTTCAGTTCTGACTGTTAAAAATGGTGGGGAATGGAAGTATTTATATTCCTTGAGGACACAGACAAGCCTCCAAGTGGCCTCAAATGACTTTCTAAAAAAGGATGCAAATGACCAGCTGTCTGAAAAGAGTATAAATCCTTCCATTCCACCATCCAGTCAGAACTGAGGAAGCTTCTTGGTTGAGAAGCAAAACATCTTCAAAGAAAAAACAAGGAAGGATAAAATCCTTCCATTCCCCACCATCCAGTCAGAACTGAGGAAGCTTCTTGGATGAGGAGCAAAACGTCTTCAAAGAAAAACAAGAAAGGATAAATTCTTCCATTCCTCCACCATCCAGTCAGAACTGAAGAAGCTTCTTGGATGAGAAGCAAAACGTCTTCAAAGAAAAAACCCAGAAAGTTCAGTTTCTTATACATGCATTTCTTAGTAGAAACCCAAAAAAAGGACTCAGGGGGAAAAAGTCTGCAAATATTCTCCTCTATTGGTCCAAAGGAGTCCGTACATGTGTTAAGTGAGTTGTGGGAACACGGGCAGTGGATCTACATATTTTTTCCCCAGGGAATTGTGGAGGTTAGCTTTTTTTGTCTCCTTTGGAAGGGCCCATAATGTTTCATTGTCAATGTAGCAATAGCAATAGCAGTTAGACTTATATACCGCTTCATAGGGCTTTCAGCCCTCTCTAAGCAGTTTACAGAGTCAGCATATCGCCCGCACAGTCTGGGTCCTGTAGAGCGCTTTTCTTTTCTTTTTTTGAGAAATAGGGAAATATTTTTTTGTTGTTGTTGTTGTATACAAACTTCGTCTCCTGTTGTTAGAAGATCAAAGACACTAATTTCCAAATTGGAAATTTTTGTTAAATGCATTTGATGTGCTCGGCTTCCCTCTAGTGGAAAACAATGGCACAGTTGCTGTACTATACTTGATTTTTTTTTTTTTAATAAAAGCACTTTATATAAAATATGCTTTACTTAGTTCTTTTCAAAACTAACTAATTGAATGTGAGTAGTCTATGATAAAATTTATGCTATAGCAGGTGCTACACTATCAAATCTGTATTCAAGTAACTGCACAAACACATTAAAATAACTTTCTAATTTATTAGTAGTTACAGTACTCTGTTCTAAAGCTGTGACTGATCAGTAATATTTGCATAACTGATGATGGAAGTTACATATGATCAAAACAATACTTCCCAAGGGAGAATAAACCAACTTTGTTTTCAAAGGATGCACATGTATGTTGAAGCAGGTATTATTCAAGACAAGGACATTCTTAGCTTCTCATGCAACCCAGTGAATGCTGCTTTTTATGGCAGTCATATCTATATTATTTAGACATTTAAAGACAGCTGATGAGATCAGGAATTAGCTGATAAATATAACCAAATACTGCTGTTAGACACACAACTCTAGGGTAGAAGGATGAATAAGGCTGCAAGTTATTTGGATAAAGAATACATTCAAGAATGTGAAATAAAAACAGTCAGGATGCCCACAAAATAATTATCATATGTAAATACAGTATCACATATACAATGCTTACAGCTTTAAAAAAAAATCATACTGTAGCCAGTTGTAATTGGCTATATTTACTTTGTGTCCGTTTTTTCCCCAAAATGAAGAAACATTAATGAATAGACATTTAAATTATGACGTGGAAAAATCTGTCAAAGCTGGGAAAGAAAGAAAAGAATATATTATGGTCTTGGGAACATCCATCTTTAAGTATGTCATTATTAAATGATTTCAGACCTAATTCTCCATGCAGTATTTTAAAAATGATTCTAAAAATTATTTTAGATGGCATTCTTGGAAATCTTTGGGTTGGGCTATAGGGAAGCAGCATTTGGGAACATTTTTTAGAAGTTGTGCTTTCTGATTAGGTATGTTTTTAAGGTAGTATACACATAGCCTTTTACTAATGATTCAACTTGTGCAAACAGCTATTTTCCAATTATTTTTGCCATACATTGGGTGGAAATTTGCAGGCAGAAAATCCTCAGTTTCTTTTTTTAAAGCTAATCTTCATAGCTATAAATAACAATGCATTTTATTTTAAAATGTATTTTTATGCCCAGCTGTAGAGAGAGTGGGTTTTGGAAAAGACATCCAAATGGCGTTATACTGAGGAAAATAAAAACAAAAAATTACTTCAATTAGTGGTAATCTTAGTTAAGTACTTCCTTCCAAATATTACAGACACAACAGTGAGTCACTTACTGGTTATTCTCCCAGTGTCCAGTACTTGCTCTTTAATACTGTGATGCATTTCAGTTGCAGTGAATTTTAAAAGTACAAGAGAGATCTTGTGGAACTAAATGCTAACTCTGAATTTTTCAGGGCATTTTTCACGTTCTGTGATTCAATTTCACCTGCTGATTTTCAAATCAACCATTACTATTATTATTTAAAAATAACCATTGTTAAATTTTTGAACAGTGAGAGTCACTTTTTCCCCAAGTATAATATTTGTGTGGCATTAAATGCTTTTAACAATTTTTAACTGAAGCAGCAGATCTCAAAATTCATAGACGGGAGTCCTGTTAATGGCACTCTGTCTTTATTCAGGAAACCATAGGGAGGAATTCCCTTTTCCTTTTGTGCTATCCATTGTTCACTAATTGTTTTCTTTTGTAAACTGATAACTAACATTGGAATGTGGGATTTTCTGACCTGAGAATAAATCAATTTGAAAGACTTCGTTTCCTAGGCAACAAGGATATGAAATGTGTCCCTCACCAATCTCCTGTAGTGACTGATTAGTTTAATCTTCACTATCTAAGAATCACTGAATACAGGGGCAATAGTTATAAGAAATGTCTAGCTTCAGAAATTAAAACAACTTTAAAATCAATTTTACAAACACAACATTATTATTAGAACATTTATATACATCAAATGGGTTTGTCAGTAATTATTTTGGCTTCCTATTAATACATATACACACATCAACAAATAACTTAAAAGGTAAGCTGAAGCTATTTTAAGTTGGCAAATTAGATTAGGAAACTGGCTCACCTAATAGTAACATACGTGAGCACGCAATCAACAGTCCTTGCAATCATGCAGGATGGATTCATGAAGCTTTCTCATGAACAGAATGGTAACATGGAATTTTTTCAATTTAATGTCTCTCCACTATGACTTGAAGAAGAGATTTAACTTGTAGCCAGTGTCTGAATGACTCTTCATATTTATGTACAGGAAATATAATTCCCTTGATAACTCCTTATTTAGGAGAATAGTTTGTTCACACTATACAGTAGGCTTATTATCTCAGTTCATTTCAAGGCAAAGCATGGCTAGGACTGATTTAACTAAATGATTTACAGTCAGCCAGAAAACTAGAATCAGAAGCCATGAGAAAGATTTTCAAGCAGTGGGTTGTGCTAATTATGATTCTGTGCCATGGATAAATTAGCATATTTTCCTTAGAGGATTTGTTCTACCTTTAGAAGAATCTAGTCAATGTTGAAAGATTAGTACAGATAAAGCATGAGTTGCTAAATATAAAGAAAAAAGAATGCTAGCATGTATTGCAGTTCCAATTTTGGCTTGTCTGGCATTGCATTCATGCATAGTGTTAATTCAGAATTTTTAATCCATGGTTTGTCAGATAAGCCCATAGTGACTTCATTCACATATCTATGCTATAGTGGGCATACACGAAATGAGTACTAAGAAAGTTACATTATGGTGTTGTGTTTTATATGAATCCGTCCTGACCGTTAGATCCTACAGTGTGTTCCAAGATAAGGTTATTGAAAATTATAATTGGGTAAGAACAAAGCCTATTGTGAGTTTTGTCTCCAGTTATCTGCTCCAGAAGCAATATTTCTCAATATATCAACTGTCTAGCTTATGGCACATTGTAGTCTGTGGAATTGGAAGATTGATTTGTTTGGCAGAGTGTGCTGGTATGAGAACAGTTCCACCTTGGCATGACAAGTTGTTTTAAAATGACCTTGGTCCCTTTCTTTACAATTTGCACATAGCCGTAGAAAGATAACAGGAAACAAAGAGCAAACCTAGGCTTACTATGAGCCAAGAGGAGGTGGCGATTTGTACAACATAGAAAGCAGAATCCATTAAACATTTCCCACTTGGACAGGCATTAAAAATTTCCTGATCACTCATGGATTAGCATTAAATGGAAGGGAGAGAAAAGACTAACTTGTAGCTCTCCCCGTTTTTGACACCAAGTTTCGATTGGTCTTCCCTTCAGAGCATCTTGAATTCAGAGCATGATTGTTGATTGCTGGGGAAAGGAAAATTAGGCTGGATTCAAATAATGGGAAGGGATGAATTGAGGTAATGGAACATGAGCAGTCTCGTTCTAAAGCCTTTCCAGTATCTTCCCTCTAAATCCGTAAAATTTTATGAGATTGTGATGAAATCCTTGTCTTCTTTCACATCCTCAGAGACAAGGCTAATGGCGTTCTTCCACTCGTTTCTTGCGAACTAGAGAGAGAAAGGAAGAGGGACAAACATTGTTTTTTTAAGTGTCACAAAATATTTTTTCTAATGTAACTTTTTTGCAAAAGTGGTTAATAAACAATTTTATTTATGTCTACATTTGTGTTCACCCCTTCCACCATGGGACCAATATTACTTGTCATCCTTTGATTTTGTACTGTAGTAAACCTACAGTAAATTTGGGCAGCAAATCATTTCTGTTATTATTTAACCTAAACAAATATGCATATTTTGGGTTCCTGTGTTAGTTATTTACAAGCTTCGTATTACACAGTGCAACTTGTATTGTTTGGAAATCCAACATAAAGAATAAAGTGTTACTGAATTACCAACAAGGTAGATATTAATTTCTTTTCATCAGTATTTCTTTTTCTTTGATATATGTGGTTGAGCCATCATTGTCTTATCATATTATTTCATTATAGGGTAAAAATAGAACTTGGTTTCCAAGTGACTAGCTGACCTGATAAGAAAGCTTCTGATACAATTGTTATGTTTGTAACCCTCTCCTCGTACCTTCAAAATGTAAAGAAAAACATTATCTCTTTATCAGTAGACAAACTCCTAGTTAGCCTTGTTTCTCATGAGACAATCCTTTCTGACCATTCAGAAAGAAGATCTGTTTATTTTTACAATGATGGTCATTCCTTCTAGTCCACTCTTGCTTCATCCATTTCGTTTTGTGTTAAGAGAGCTTTGGTGGTCCTTGTATATCCAATGTGTCATTTTGTAAGGATGCTCCTGAGCTTTCACCAATCGTGAGGGGTTGGTATCTTACCTAGATCATTGTTTTTAGTGATGGCAGCTGCTACCCTGGTTCTTGGGCCTTGCTTTGTAAACTGGTACCCAAATTTGAGAATTTGAGAATTCTCCTCCAACATCTGAGCAATCTCCATCTCCACTGCTGTACCAAGCTGTTGTCTCTGAGAAAGCAATCGAATCAAATGGGAAATATCATTGCTGGTTCACAGCAGCGTCCCTCTTTATAAACAACTTTCAACCTAAATTGATATCATATTCCCGTCATCCATGCAACTTCATGCACAAAACTGAATTCTCTAAGAATTCAAAACTGAATTCTCTAGATCTAATATTTGGTGTGTGGTGATGGAGCTTATCATAGTCAAAGAGTATTCACTTAATTGTGCTTTAATTTAATAGCTGCGGTGATTCACTTAACAATTGTGGCAAGAAAGATCGTAAAATGGGGCAAAACTCACTTAACAAATTTCTCACTTAGCAACATAAATTTTGGGCTCATTTGAGGACTACCTGTACAAAGTCAAGCAGGGACTTGCATTTTGAACAAACCAGATACTAATCCATCCCCCTGAAATAATTCCCTAGCTTTATTAACCTACTTTGTCACCGGAAGAGGGAAAATGCTAGACTAGGAAAATTCTATTCTCTTACAGTAACATATTTCTGTGTGTAAAAGAAACATTAATATTTTCACACTGAGGGTTCCTGCATGATTGAATTTTAACATACTAAGAAAAATCAAATATATACATTAAATCAGGCTACGTTGACTTCCGTCTTATTACAAGATCTCAAACAAGGCTCATCGTAAACAGCAACTTTTGGAGTCCAGCCAACCTGAAGGTCCACTCTGCTATCCTTTCCTTACCTGATTGTCAATTTTGATTTCTGCCAGTACTTCATTTCTTTTCAGAGCATCAACCAAAGCAAGGATGCCTGTCCCAGTGATAAAATTGGATTCTATATTTAGACTTTTCAATGTCTTATTTACTTTTAGCATATCTGCAAAAGCCTGAAAAGAAACACAGCAGTTTTGTTCCTGTTTGCCTTAAGAAATATTACATTTCAGAATTGACCTTTCCACCATTGTCACCTCAAAATAGTGTGAAAATAGTTGAATGTGTTAAATAAAGTATAGAAGGCATTCACAGAAAATTCAAAACAATGCAAGTCTGCAGCTTTTGAAACATGAAACTTTACACTGTTTATATTTTAGAGTGTTTGTTTATTCTGCATTATTTTCTAATACTTTTTATCAACCCAGTATTAAAATAGAATATGCAAGAACACCTCACCATTGCAACAGGGTCGTTGCTTCGAGTAGCTGCCAGGCTGAATTTTTTCACATGGTTATTGGTTTCCAGAGCCTTTGCAAACTCTTTAAGAGTTGGAATTGGGATGTTCTGCATAAGATTTAAAAAAAACCTGTAGTATAATTGCTTGAATTGAATAGATTGCAGGATAGTCATATAGTAACCTGGTTCTGTCAAAACGGTTTTGGACAGCAAAGTATCCCAAACTGTAAAAAAATCAACTTTTGAGCCGGTCTCTAATTTTAATTTGGATTATAACACATTTAATAATATTTGTATCCCACCTTTCTATATAATAGCATCAAGACAACTAACAAAATATTTAAAATAAAACAAGATAATTGGTCAGGCAAATAGATTAGGATCAATCTAAAGCTAATAGACATGTTTTATCTAAATAGAAGCTTTAAAAAAAGGAAGAGGCACAAGCAACAATTCCACAACAGTGAGCACATGGTTGTTTCGATCTCACCCTCAAAAATGTTGTCTTTACAAGGCTGATCATTGGTTTTAAAAATGTTTCAGCATATCTTTTTGAAGGGAATGAAATTGCAATTCATCATCCTCTGAAGTATCATTACTCTAATCAGTTTTATGTTTGAGAGAATGCAAATATAGTTTTGTTTTTTTTTTCAAATTCAATTTGAATGCTGACATTTAATATCTGCTTCATAACATCTTTGATGGATGAAGCTATAGTCTAGACACGAAAAAAAGCAAGAGACATCTCGACATATTTTACATGTAAAGACTGGGACAATAAAACAACTGAATTTGACTTTGATAGAAGTACCTTTATGTTGTTCAGATTGACTTCTTGGAGAGTGGGATCATTTGCCTTAAGTCTTTGCAAACAGGCTTCCACATTTGTTGGGTTAGGTGGCTCTTCAAAAACAGGCTTGACCTTTTCACCTTTAACCACATCTGGGGGGGGGAGAAGAGCACAAATGCCTTCCTTCCGTCCATATACCATTAATGCAAACTTTTCTTTAGAAATACTTTTTTTCAGTAAAATGACATATGCATTCTGGGCCACCAGTTATAATCTGATGGTTTATTTTATAATAGCTTTGGCTTTCTCATTTCTACAAAGTCGTTTTTGTCCCTTCTCTCCTTTTTGTAAACGTTTTTGTCCACTTCTAACAATTTACAGCAATTTTTTAGGCTGCCTAGTACGCATGGCTGTAAATTTTGATTTTGCAAACACTTTATCCCTTATTCAAGACTTTGTTGACTCAACAGAAGGTTTTCAGACAAGGCTGTCAAGTTCTCTTCCTTTTCTTGTAGATAACGAGGCATAAGCATTCATACATTTTCATACATCATGATAATTAGAAATATGGTTTTGGCTTCCCTGATTATGTAAATAAACATAGCCAATTCAGTAAAGCACGATCAAGCCAGGGCATAGCTTTAAGATCGTGTTAAGCTCATAGCCAGCTATATTTTCAGTTATGTAACTCGGTTCGTAGAAACTCCTAAAATAGATTCTTCACTAGCTATTTTAATTATATTTTTTTAAAAATGCTACTGCCTTAAGGGGGAAAATATTGTTTTTGGAACAAAAGCGCCTGACAGAGCAAACTCCTAATTGCCTCATTCACGATGGGAATGCAGTTTAGGAGACCTGCCACCTTGGCCAATTGCTAATTGGATCTTTGCAACAATTATCATAATCATCACAGTGAGAAAAAGATTAGCAGCATAAGAAGTTTGATGGTTGTAGAACATTTCTCCATTGGTTGGTTTGATGGGATGCAGGGGAACGCGTCTACTTACTTTTCACAATTCCTTTGCCATCTTGACCGGTGGTTCCTTCATCAAACTTAGGGTTGTTGACTAAGTTATGAACTCCGAGGACAGCTAGAAGTACCAGAAATACCAGCAATAAGATGGCTTGAAAAGACCCATGGTCTTCATCTAGAATCTCCTGCTTTTCTCCTAGAATTCTTCCATGTTACCCATCAGTAGCTAATACGTCAAGAGGAGGATAATCAGGTGGATTGTTTTTCATTTAGGATGATCTACTTAAATTAGTTTATGCTGCTGTTTAGGAAAATTTGCCTCTTCAAAGAAGCTTACCAGGTAGCATTTCACGTAATTGAAAATGCAAAGTGTAACCCAATAAAACCTGCAGAGAGTAACTGCAGAAATTTAAAAAAATGGAAATCATTTATATGAAAGCAGACGGGAATGACGAGTTTAAACTATAGCAGTTTAATTGGTTGAGATAAAAACTATAGCAGAAAAGGACAGTGATGAATTCAGTACCTGTAAAAACTGAGCCGTATGATCCATATACTAAAGGTAAAGGTTTCTCTGTCAGTCATGTCCAAATCTCCGTTTCTTGGCCGAGGAAGCCACGTTGTTCAAAGACAATTTCAGTGGTCATACAGCCAGCATGACTATATGCCAAAGGTGCACGAAACCCTGTTACCTTCCCGCTCAAGTGGTACCTATTTATCTACTTGCATTTTCATGCTTTCGAACCGCTAGCTGGGCAGGAGCTGGGGTGGGGAACGGGATCTCACTCTATTGCACAGAACTCAGGACTCGAACCCGGGCTGTTAGCTCTCCAGCACTCTTTAACTGCTGAGCCATCACTCTCTATACTATCAGCATTCTAATAGCTATTTCATCCATAATGTATTTCTTAAGTGGAATAGCCCTTCCATTTTGGAAAAGATGTGAAGACTTTACCCATCATGTGCATATATTTCAATAAGTGTGGATGTCAGAAATCTGCATACCTACACTCTTATACAATAGCCCTGAGCAAATATTTGCATGTGGTTAACAGTTCTCTTGTGTTGGAAAACATACTTATGCACATGCTTTGAGTTCTGTTCAAACCTCCCTGTATACCTGACTGGCTCTTTAGATCTTTGAATATTCAGCATATCTGAATGTTGAAATGTTTGACTATCCAACATAATCAACACTGCCATTAAACCCAGTTCTAGAGTTCCTGTTGTTTGGTTTCTCAATCAAAGGAGTGCTGCTAGTGCATTTGTGGGATTCGTTTGGAGTAATAGTCCCAGGAATAGGCTGCTGGAGTTTTGCAGGGGTTTGGGAGAACCTCTAGCTAAGATCTGTGCAGTTTGGAGAACCCCCAAATCCCACTCCTGTCTGGCCCCGCCCATCCTGCCCCTCCCAGGAGTCTCCACGCGGCCCGTTTTGGATGCCGATAAGTGCAGGGCGCACATGGAGGCTTGGGGAGGGGGAAAATGGGCCTACTGGAAGTTCGGGAAGGCAGGAAATGGGCCCGTTTCCAGCCTCCGGAGCCTGGGGAGGCCATTTTCGCCCTCCCAGAGGCTCAAGCAAAACCTCTGGAGCCTGGGAAGGGCAAAAACACCTCTCTCGTCCCCCCACCCACCGTGGTGCAGGAGGCCAGGCCCACCATGGTCACACTGACTCAGCAACCCGGCAGAGAACCCCTTGCTAAAAAATATTAAGCCCACCCCTGAGTAAGACTCCCAGTTGAGGTAGGGGAGTGTTCATATATACATCCGTTTCACCAAATGTAACCATATCTGTGTACTCTTGACAACAAAAGAACATAAACAATGGCTTGGAGTGGTAAACAAGTTTGAAAAGATGGAAAGGCTGACCCTGCTGTGAAGCAAACCAACAAAGAACCTTGCCACACACCTGCTAGATCATACAGCTCCGTATCAGAGGCGCTGGCCAGGGCTTCTTCTAATTCTGGATCCAGAGTCACCTTCTTCTCTGTGTGCGTCTCTATTGGTCTCTCCTTAGGCACAAACGCTTTTCCTTCAAGACAGAAATGAACTGTTTCAGTTGAAGAGCATGATGGTTGCGAGCTGAGAGGAGTTCATGCTACGTATCTACTGTACTGAGAATGAGTTCAGAGGAAGAACATTTATGGATTATAGGTCAACCAGGGAAATGACCAAAATTCAGCACATGAATGAATACCGACCCCATTTAGGACTAAATCTTAGGGTATGAATTTTGGTCATTTCCCTGTTGGCCTATAATCCATAAATGTTTTGAGTCCTGTTAGGAATATAATCTAACGGTTGGGTTGGCAATATATAAATCATATAGTAATGCTGTACCTGTTTCTTTAAATCATAGTGTAAAATATGATTGGTTGCTGTTTCCTCAATCGGCCATAAGAGGGAGCCAGAATGACTATTAGCTCTGTTTCGTTAGATGCTGGGCTGATCTGAGTGTTTTGGAAGCTGGCTGTTAGAAAGTGCCGTGAGCTATTGTAAGTTTTGCAACTTCTAGCAAACATTGAGTACTGGACTGTTTGTATGATTATGGGCTATGTTATTTGGATTATCCCTTAA